ACATGTATGATATATAAGTATACATTTAAGAAGGTATAAATAATATAAGTGTCTAGTTTGGTCAAATGACCTCAAGAATAAAGTAGTACGCCCTTCTCATCCCTGTGTGTTTCCTGTCGTCTGTGTATCTGTAGAAAATAGTGAGTATTTCTCCACATGAGGCTCCTCCCCTTCTGCTACGTTGTCCACGGTTGTCAGTGACATCAGGGACTCGTTCGCACCTTTGCACTAAAAATAGTGAGCTGAGACACAGCACTCGTTTCTGTCAGTGACGGAAGAAGATTTGTCTGAAACTTTACACCAGCAGAGAATCAAGTGAATGAATCCTGAATGTTCTCAGGACGTCTGTGTCAACTCTGTTTTCAGGCTGAACCGGGAGGAGGGGGACGGCGCCTGGTGTCCTAAGGGACAGCTGGAGCCTTCAGACAGTCAGTACCTGCAGGTTCGTGTCCACGGCTGCAGACACACAAAACAAAGTGTGACACTTCTGTCAGTGTGTGTGTGAGTGTGTGTGAGTGTGTGTGTGAGTGTGTGTGTCAGTGTTTAGAATCTGTGTCGTAAGAAGACGATGTCTGATAACCGTCGTCTACTCTGCGTCTCTTTTGTTTATATACAAACAAAATAAATAAAAGTTTGTTGCACTTTGTAGTTTGGCTTTTTGAACCCATGAGGATTCTTGCTCTGGGCTGGTTCCCTCATGGTTGGTGCACTTATTGTAAGTGGCTTTGAATTAGATTAAATGAAATGAAATGTAAAGTAAAGTCAATCTCCGTCCTCCGTCGACGGTCTTGTTCCTCAGGTGGACCTGGGCAGACTGACCTTCCTCACCGTGGTCGGGACTCAGGGACGATACGCCAGAAGCTCCGGGAACGAGTACGCCCGATCTTATCGCCTGAACTACAGCCGGGACGGTCTCCTGTGGAAGTCCTGGAGAAACCGGCTGGGAAACCCGGTGAGCAAAGCTCCGGGGGTCACGACCAGGCAGGAAGCCGCAGAAAGGTCGGAAGTGAATGTGCAGAGGAAACATGTGACGGAGTGATAGAACTAAGCGATGGACAGAAGAATGGGAGGACGAGGAAGGAAAAGAGAGGAAAATAATGTTTTTCTTTTACTCTGAGACGTTTCTGGTCGTTCACACTCACATCAGAGGAAATGACACGTTCACGCCAGCTTCCTGTCGGCCTCCTAGGTCCCTGGTTGCTATGGCAACGCCATTAGGACAAATCCAAACAGCGTGTTGTGTTTTTATCTGAGGAATTACCCAGATTTCCTCTGTGTGGATTTACAGCCTGAAAGAAAACATCCTATCTCACAGGTTCTTTTCTTATTGAGGATGTGAACAAAACATCAGCAGCTCGTCGACGGAGAACGAGCAGCGCCGTATTTTCTAACTACGAATCACGGACTATTTCTCTCATTGTAGTTTTATTCCTCTGCGCAGGTGAACATGGTCCGTCTGCCGTTTGTTTCCCACTCTGAACACCTCCCTGATTTTGTTCCCAGGTGATGGAGGGCAACAAAAACGCCTACACCTCTGTCATCAACGACCTTCACCCACCAATCGTCACCCGCCACGTCCGTCTGATCCCCGTCACCAAGCTGTCGACCACGGTCTGCATGAGAGTGGAGCTGTACGGCTGCCCGTGGGACGGTAGGACGCAAACACACAGTCACAGTGTGTGTGTGAATGTGTGTGTTCTCTAACAACCACACTAAACTGTTTCCTGGCTCAATGTGTGTCACACTGGGACAATTAAAGTTGTCGTACGACCCCTTTCACCCCTCCCCCCTGCAGACGGTCTGATCTCCTACGGAGCGCCGGAGGGTCAGCTCATGATGCCGCCGAGTTATCCTATCGCCAGCCTCAACGACTCCACGTATGACGGAGCGCACGAGAGGAGGCGAGTCGCACACACGCAACATACGTCAATGTTTCCTGTTTTCCTGACCAGCAGCATGTGACTGACAGCCGTCTCGTCCAATAGGAGGCTGTTTGGTGGGCTGGGTCAGCTGACGGACGGTGTGATCGGCCTGGACGACTTCCTGTTGACGCGTCAGTACCACGTGTGGCCGGGCTACGACTACCTGGGCTGGAGGAACGACTCACTGGGAACTCAGGGATACGTGGAGATGGAGTTTGTGTTCGACCGACAGAGGAACTTTACCTCCATGAAGGTTTTATTTCTATTTATAATAATAACAATATAAT